CATCTTGGAAGTTGACCCTCCAGCCCCATTTAAGTTCCAGTCATTTGTCTACACAGGGACTCAAAAGGCTGCTTTGGAACCATGCTTTTCAGAGCAATGAGAAAGCTCAAGTTTGGTCACACTTAAAATTGTGAATGTTTAAACTTTTTATTGAAGAAAACCTAAAAGTGCTTTTGATTTTTTTTAATTAATTAATTTATTTTTATTTTATTTATTTATTATTTATTTTTTAAACTTTTTTTTAAATTGAGTTATAGTCATTTTACAATGTTGTGTCAAATTCCAGTGTAGAGTACAATTTTTCAGTTATACATGCACATACATACATTCATTGTCACATTCTCTTTCGCTGTGAGCCAACACAAGATCCTGTATATATTTCTCTGTACTACACAGTACAGTCTTTTTTATCTATTCTACATTTTGAAATCCCAGTTTTTATTTGAGGAAAAATAAACACACAGAAGTTAGAGTAATCACACAAATATCATGTGATATTTAGTTCCTAATCCCTTGTGGTAAGAAAGAGAAAAAGAAGACATATTGGTGAGTTAAAATACAGATAGCTGAATCTGGTTTCATAATACTAGATAATATAATAAAAAATTATAATTATGTGAAGGTGGTAGTTCATATGTGTTTTACAGAATTTCTCAAATGCATTGAAAATAATGTATTTTGATATTACATATCATAAATATATATATTTACTATATAATATATAAAACATATATCATATACAATCTATATGTATACTATATATTTATATATGGTATCAGAGAGCTAAATATTTCAAAATATTTTGTATGTTTATTCTGTATATTTTCTGAATTCAATAAATTCACCATCATCTACCACATTACAAATGGAAATACACATTAAACATCAAAACATTTTTCCATTCTCACAGAATCATTACCTTTCATCAAATTACCTCCTGCGTACACTCTAGATTGATTAGTAGTTATTAATGACTAAATATGGGGACAAATGTTTGCAAAGCTTATTTAGATATCTGTGACTGGTGATGACTCTAGAATGCTATATGAGACTTTTAATTAAGAAGAAAATAACTTACTAAAGAGAGGTCAGTTCACAACTAATGCAGTGCTATTTTGCTGTTTGCTAAGCTCTTTTTAGCATAACATATATAATTATCTGTAACAATTACACTATCAGAGGCAAAAAGGCTGCCACCCTATCCAATGAATAAACATACATGGACTTGTTAACTTAACTGAAGCTAACAGAAAATAAGAGAGTGGTTAAGTGTAGTTGGGGTATAAAGTGTGGCCAGGTACAGAAATAGAAACAATTGGTTACAGCAAATAAAGCTTAAAAGGTAAGTAGATTTGTACTCTCAAGGCCCTTGTAAGGCAGGTTAAGGCACTTGCCCTGATTCCATGGGCAATGGAGGACAAACAGAGCGCTATATGTCAATGAGTGAAATGATTCAGTTCACTTTTTCAGACGGTGACAAAAGGCAGCACTGAAAATGAGTGACAGGAGAGACTGGAGTAACACTAGAAAAAGATCATGGAATTAACTTGAAGCAGTTATAATAATAATTAAAAAGGGAAGGGTAGGTAGGCAAGACATTTCAGGGATAACAATCCACATGTCTTGCTAATAGATGTATAAAACAAAGCAAGAGAGAACAAGGAACAAGGAATGACAGAGTAAATTTATAGTTCTATTTATACGGCAACTCACAATTTACAAAACACTGTTATGTATACTGTATTCAATTATTTCAACAACCTTGTGATAAATCAGTATTATTAAATAACAAACAGAGTTTTTATAACAATCTTAAAAAGACTCTGACCACTGCTAAATCATTTCTTCATGAGATGCTCTACTTAGCCTTTCTTTTTTCTCCTTCTAAAGCAGAGGTTGACTTGGGTTCACCCTTTCAAAGATCCTATACTGTCTTTGACTCTCCCCATGTTACTACATAAGTGGACTTTTGCAATAGCTTATTCAATGGGCATGTGTATAGTGAGTTGTACCTCTATGTCTCTGAAAAAAAAATCAGTAGGTAGTACTTTTGAAACTTTGAGGATATGAATCATCTGAGGATCTTGATAAAATGTAGATTCTAATTCAGTGGGTCTTGGACAGAGCCTGAAATTCTGCATTTCTAACAAGCTCCCTATGATGTCAACGCTACTAGTCCATGGAACATATTTTGATTAGAAAGGATGTAGACGAAAGCCATGTGCATATTTGTACCCACACACACTCTCATGCATACAGACACCCCAAAGTACCTTTGCTTATGCAGTTGTGCCATTCTGGGACACTTAAAATGTATCTGATTTCCATATTAAAATTGCAACCATTTTCTCACAGGTTTCAAGGTAGACAGTAGTTACTGCCAATTGTATATGTATTTCTTCTCAGTAATATAACTGCATTTCATTTCTGTCTGTATTGGCAAGCATTCCCCTAAAGGTTTCTAAACATATCAATGGTCTTTTTCAAGAAGAGATCTCATAAAGAACCACCTCATTGTTAGTTGTTCATTAGTAGTTCTTTTATTGACAACTTGGATGTATGCCTCTTAAGTTTGCAAGTATTTTAAAATTAAAATTACTTCCAAAGCATTTCAAATACTTCTTCTGGCAATAACGTCTGCTTGGAAGCAAAATTCTTAACTCTCCTCCCACAGGTCTTTGCTTTTATGATTTCATAGCCTTGTGGGTTTTCTTAATAGTCTGAAATTCCACAATATAATTCGTGTGTGTTGAAACACATCTGAAATCATTGACATGCCTCAGGGTCTCAGAATTAAGCAACTATCAGTTCTGTCCTCATGTAATTGGGTATGTTTAGGTCCATCTCAGAAATCCCTTCTTTCTTTCTCTTCCTCTTCCCCTCCACTTTCTCTTAGAGGAAACTCATTTATGGTTCAGACAAGATTCTCAAGGGACATATTTTTGTCCCCATGGAAGTATCTATCTCAAGTCAAACTTCAACAGATGAACAATATCTCTGTACACATGACAAAGAGGAAACCTTGAAAGAAAGGGTCGATTTTTATGAGATTCTAAGCAAGAACTCAGCCACCCCCACAGGAAGAAAGGCTTATGTCTGCTGCTTAGGCATTAAAAATCTTTTAGTCTCCTATATGCCAGAGAGCTATATGAGATGAACTGAAAAATATAGGCTAATGGGGGCTGGCATTAATTTCTCAAAAGGTCTTGGGATCTTTTAGTTGGATGGCCCACAGATAGTATGTTATCTAACTTCCTATTCAATTCGGGAATCCTTGATGCGGCCTCCTTGAGACTTATTCAAGGTGCCATAAGTATTTTCTGAAGGGGTGCGACCCTAGCTGGACAGCTCCAGTTGTTAACTTTCTGCAGCTGTGAGTAGCCACATGCATTCCCTCAAGCTGCTCTGATGTTTCCTACTATTCCTGCTCACCTCCTATGCTCATATGTGATGTTCTTGCCTTTTCACTTTTACAGTGTTCATTAATTCCTATTTATAGATTTCAGTATTGCACAATGAGAATTTCTAAAACTACCTGAATTTAGTTAGGAATTTAATACTCATCCAAATAGAGCAAAACCTGAACTTTGACATATGTTATCAATACCAAAGCCGCATCTCACCACTGTACTTCGAACTTCAGTGGCATTTTCAGTTTCAAACACCGTACTGCTCTCTCAAGGAGTTTGATGAAGTCCATCTCACCATGGAATACACACCTTTTCCCTCCCATTTTCAGATGCATCAATGAAAAATTGAACAATATGCATCAGGCCACACATACTACTGGAGACCCAGCTGGGAATAGAGCCCAGGAATCTTGGCTCCCAGTCTGGTGTGCTTCTTACCACATGACCATCATTTCTGACAACTATAAATTCACATAGCACTCCTCCTGTTGAAACATGCAGGAGACAAACACACATCAAACTAGACCAGTCAGTGTATGTTAAGCAAGTTTCTAAACTGAGTAATATGTAGTTTCCAAGGTTCCTGTTGCCATGGACTGTGAATGGTCCACATTTTGTTAATGTTATCATGATACAGGGTATTTCTGAGGGTCCTTTTATTACAAATTGCCCTAATAGTCACATTCTTGGCTCTTGTCTTGCCGGACAGATTTTGCTCCAATGGCATCTTTCTAAGAAGGCACTTCAGAATGTTGGCAGCAGCTGCAGCTGCTGTTAAATGTTTCAGAGCCTCTGAGCTGTGCCCTCCAATATGCTTCCTGAGACGCTGAACTACTTGCTCTCTGCTTAAGATTTCAACTATATGCTTCTAAACCTGAAACAGATGTTATCTTGGCTGCTGTCATTTGTCCTAAGCGTCTCTATTTGCGTTATATACAAGGCAGGTAAAAGGCAGGTAAATTGCTGCCTCACTCTGTAGAGAAGGGGGGGAAGAGGAGAGAGTGAAACAAGAGAAAGAAAGAGACTAAATATATAAATCAGAGAAATAAAGCCACATGGAGACAGAAAGTGCAACCACTTGAGCATCTATTATCCTAATATCATATGCTATAGTCTGGCTACTACTCATTTGCCTGGCATTCCCCTTGAGTCATATTTGTGGCCACCCAGATTAACTGTGTGAGCTGATCTTTTGATTTAATATCAGCTTGCTCTTTTCAGCTCCCATGTCATTTACTGTCTTAAAAAATGTACTGCTTGTTACTCAGCCTTCTGTGTTTTCAAGAACTCACAGTTTTGGGTTTTTTTTCTCCTTCTTGTATGGGAACCAGGAACTAGAAAGCATTAAATGAGGAAAATTAACCACTCACAGAAAGGTGGAAGCCCAGAGAAAAAAGGGTTTGTCTTTTATGGTTTGTACTTTGTAAGCTGTGGGTGTGACTCAATTTCCTCACCACCCACATAAAAAGGTTGCCACCCAATCACTGTTTTTTCTATCCAAAACCCCTCCCCTTTGATTTTGGCTAGAAGAGACCCTAAGAAAGACTGCCCTTTCTGGACGTTGCAGACTGTGACATATAAAAGCTGTTAGCTGCTCCTGCAGCCAGCAGCACTCAAACCTTGCAGAGTTTTGCTCTCTGAGAGTTTGTAATAAGACACACTCCTCTTACAAGAGTTCATGCTACAACCTAGCAAAGAACTTTAAATTTTTGGAAGAATACTATATTCATTTTGGCATTGTGCAGAGGTAAGCCATTTAGCTCAACAAGTTTATTTTGCATGCATTGCTTTTAAGTAGCTCACATTTTTATTTTTTATTTTTTTAGAAATGAGATTGGATGATTCTAACTTTTTTGTATGTACTCTATCACTTGGGGTCCATAGTATATCTGGGAGACATTATCAGTACATTCTCTATTATTACCTGTGATGCATTTTTCCTTTTCACTCTCAAGACGAATTTCACTTCCTCAGATTTCCCTCTGAAAATAAGTATGCAGTAATGCATTCTGTGGTTCAGGTATTTTGGGGTAAATGGCTCACATTCACTTCAGGGTCAGTGGTCATGCTGTTTATTTTTCTCTAGCTATAGGAAGTTTCTTTTAGGGACCTGCCTCATAACACCATGTAAAATGCATAGGGGACCACTCCAGGTTGTCTCCTAGGCTTGAGTTCATCATTTGCTTGGATTTTTTGAAGAAAATCAAATCAAGCAATGATTTTGTAATAACCTCTGCCTTTTTTTTTCTTTTTCCTTTCATAGACCCTAACTCTATCTTTCTGCTTTAAGGCAAAGTAAACTCGGTGGCCTCTCCCTCTCCACCCCTCAAAATGATTGCAGTCTCTGCCGTCAGCAGTGCACTCCTGCTCTCCCTTCTCTGTGAAGCAAGCGCTGTCGTCTTACTCAATTCCACTGACTCATCCCCGCCAACCAATAATTTCACTGATATTGAAGCAGCTCTAAAAGCACAGCTAGATTCTGCGGATATCCCCAAAGCCAGGCGGAAGCGCTACATTTCGCAGAATGACATGATCGCCATTCTTGATTATCATAACCAAGTTCGGGGCAAGGTGTTCCCACCAGCAGCAAACATGGAATATATGGTAAGAGAAATTCTGTTTTCTTTGAGTTCTGGGTGAGGACACTTTATTTAAATTGTATGTTAGACGAATCTAAAGAGCGTTTATAATGTTAAGGGATATGGGGCTTTTTACACCTTTTTACTTAGGGAAGGTTCTTAAGTGCCTGGTAAACAAGGACTAGTCCACCACAGAATTAAAAGGGAGGGGAGAAATCTAATTTTTTTGTGTGAGTTCCATAACCATTGATGAATCAGATCTTATATAATAAGCAGATAAAGAGTGGGATATGCTGGCTGATCACATTTAGAAGTTCTGCTTAAAAAAAACTCTCATGAAACTTTTCCTGTGCTTTGTTTATCTAATAGTCATAATTATCAGCTAAAGCATTTCTTGAAAATAATTTTTTTAAATTATAGGTTTTGCATGCCTGATTTATTCTCTGGGTAGGTGTCTCTTCCCTTTCTTGGACAGAGTTCTTCCTGACAGTAATCTATTTGTATTCTCAGAGAACATGCTGACTTTTTCCTCCTTATGATTTAATGCTTTGTCATTCAGATAACAGTGAAGCCAGCACACTTGTGCACTGTTCCAACTTGCCATGAACACATTCTTTGCTCTCTTTTAAAAATAAAAAATAGGCTCTCTGTGTTTGCTTAGAAAATTTTTCAAAAGTCAGTATTAAAAGGATAGACGTCTTTTTAAAGTTTATTTTTGGTTTTGAATTTATGTAAGGTTATGATCTAACTTCCAGCACCTTCCAAGAGCACAGCTTGGAGCCTGTTTAAGGCAATGAAGACCACTGATATGGTATTTCTAAGCTGGGGTGGGGGTGGTGGTACCACTAACAACTTTGTATAAGTATAAGCACTTTGTATAAGTGCTAATATAAAATTCTGGGATTTCTACTAGATTCTAAATTCATCTATCTTATTTAAAAAAGCTTTTAAAGTTTGACTAATTGTAGATATCAGTGTCAAAAGAAAAAAATAAAGACTTGTCAAATGTAAGAGAATCATGGTTCATGGACTCTATGAAAGTGCATTTTTCTATGACTTTTTTAATCAAAGAGGAAAAGAAGATGTCATCAATCCTGGCATACCAGGGGCAGTATAGTCTCATGATTAAGGATATGGACTCTGAAATCTAAGTGCTTGGGTTCAAATCCCAGTCCTGGAATATAAGATGAGTGAATTCATTACCTAATTGTGTTTTATGTTCATCATCTCTAATATGAGGATAAAGGTGGTATCTGACACATAGAGTTGTTACAAGTTGAGGGGAAGGACAGTTAGACCAGAGCCTACAGCAAGATAATGTTCAGTAAACATTAGCTTTTATAAGTTTCTGTTAAATTATTGTGACAGGTACCCAATGAAAACCCAATCAAGATCTAAAAATACAAACAGTTACACTGAACAGGTGTTTCTAGAAGGTGATGTACGGATATAGAAAGGAGAGGAACAGACATGTTTTCAAATGTCATAAATTATGAGGGAAATATGCATAAAATGCTATGTGAGCTCAAGAGGGTATGCTATACAGACTGTGGCTTTAGGGAATACATCCTGGAGGCAATCACATCACTATTAGACTAAGGTGAGGATCAAGACACATTAACTTTGGAGAGGAGCTCATCTGGGTTGAAATCTGAACTCGGCGGCTTACTCTGTGGCCTTGTACAAGTTACCTAATGTGCATAAGACTCCATTTCCGTCTCTGTGAAATGGGAAGAGCAATTTATATAATAACCAATCAATATACGATGCAATTCACTATTTTAATAATATTGAGGGAAGAGGGGACCGTCAAGAGTAAGAGTGGGGGTCAACATAGTAGAAATAGATTTTAAAAAGCCATATTTTTCTAGTTATATTTTCCCCCACTGATCAAGAATTAATTCATTCCACATGCATTCATTTAATTGTTTCTGTGTGCCAAGGACTTGGCTAATTGTTTCCACAGATGATCTCATTTGATAGCTCACAGTTTCCCTATGAGGTTAGGGCTGTGATTTTCATTTTACAAATGAAATCCCTTAGTGAGTAGGCCAAGGTGGTCTTGATAATGAATGGTATCATTGGAAGCAGAATTTAGGTCTGTGTCATTTCAAAGCCCATGCTTGTTGAGGAGTATCTTTTCATCTCCTAGATTTAGCAAATGCTACATTGGGGGAAACTGCTAGAAATGTCAGGCTATCTCTCTTTCCTCCTTTACAATGGCAGCTGAAATCATATAGTATTCATATTCTATTTGTAATTCCTCTCTTATTATTCACTTTTCAAATATGGGAGCTACTACATATGATTTATTTTGTAAGAATAAGATACAGTGCTGGTTACAAATGCTTTATAAAGCCTCCTTCACTTAGTAAAGTTAAAGAGAATAGTAGTCAGAATAGTAAGCTCTATAAAGAAAATAAAACTGTCTCAAATTATCATATAAATACTGCATATAGTTCATTCCCACATGTATTTATTCACTTAATATCTATTCAGCATTTTCTGTATGTTAAGCACTCTTCTAAGCACCAAGGATAAATTCGTGAAACAATAGACAACCTGTGGCCCCCTGGGTGGGGAATCAGACAATAAATAAATAAATTAATACATAGTATGTTAGACAGTGATAAGATAAATAAATAAATTACATAGTATGTTAGAAAGTGATAAGATTATGAAGGAAACTAAAGCAAGCTGAGGTTGGGACATTTGATAGTGTGGTCAGGGACAGGTTCACGGAGCTGTCCTGGAGGGAAGTGGGGGAGTGAGCCACATTCACAGTTGACAGAAAACCATTCCAGATGGAGGGAAGAGCACAGGCAAAGTCCCCGGGTGGGTGAAAACTGACGAGTGCTGTGAGAACAACGCGCTCCATCTAGCCAACTCCTACGGCTCTCTGAGTAAACTGACCGACTGAAATCATTCACTGGATCCCTGATGCAGACTCAGAGAAACTTTGAAGAAAGTACAATATAAGAGGTCAGAGCAGGAATGTAAGTGACTTTAACCTTCAGGCCAAGTGAAAAATACAGCTCTCAGTTGGACACTGTTAACCTTATTTTAATTTGTTCAACATTGCTTTAGATTGTGAGCAGTTTGAAAGTGAGTTCAGTTCCTAATCTCTACTATGGACCTTGAAAACCTAGGACACTTATCTCACTGTGGCTACCAGCCCTGTGTTCGAACTGTCTGCATCAGCAGGTGACATCACCATAGGAGTCTCACAGAAGATGCTCTTCAGCTCAGGTTCTTCCTAGTTGCACCAGCCTGACTTGCAATCCCCTTCATCCACAACTTTTCTCTCTGAGCCTTTTCCTGTGCCATTTCCTCACCTTCTAATGTCTCATCCTTAACTTATTCCAGCATTATAATCCTACCCTTCAAGTTTTATATCAGAATGTTGTGTCCTTTACTAGTATCTTCTGCACTACAACCTTTTTTGATCTCTCCTTCTTTAGAACAGCTGCATCCCATATGTCTCTCATACTGCTCTCATCAAAATCAGGCATGATACCGTTTTTTGTGTATTTCTTGCAAAGCTCCTAATTTTAAGCTTTCAGGGTGCTAAGTCTATGTTTATTCGTCTGTGTATCTCTATTTTCTTGGGAAATTTCTTGTGTATAGAAAATAGTCAACCATCATTTGATTAATTTAGTTGAAATCTCTATGAATTGTACATTTATAAGTTGAATCAATTTTGATATTATTATTTATATTTAAGTTTTTCATCATTTATAATAATATTTTATCTTGTGCACCTAAAATACAAAATAAGGTTTTCAAAATTCTAAAAAAAGCCCCTTAAATTTAAGTGATGTTATCTTCTTTAAGGACTTGGTCATATCATCATGTGCTTGATTAAATTAACTGGGCATAACTGAACACCAGGGTGTTGACATTCATATTATAGTTGTATAATATTTTCCTCGGATATATTGTCTGTGATTTTAGTAAAAAAATGAACTTTGAAATATTTAATTTTCCAAACATTGTATCCTTTCAAAAAATAATAGTATAGATAGAACTTAAGATATTCAAGTCAAACTTCTTTACTCTTGGCTTCTGTTCTACAATTAGTTTATTGACAGATTTCCAGAGCTCCTTGGACACCAGCTGCTTTTCATTCTTCCTAAAGGCAACTTAAACCATGACTCTAGACCACAAACCACACTAGTTTCTTAGAATAAATATCATCCCTAAAAGAATGAAATAGCAAGACTCACGCATGGAATAAAACTTGTAGGCTATTCCCTGAATTCAAGTCAATTGAATAAATAAATTTAGAAAAAGATGGAAGTCCTTCTGTGAGAGGATGAGATCCAAACATAACAGCAATCTTCGTATTTAAAGTGTAAACAAACAAGAAAAGACAAGCAAGGGGGAACAAAAAAACTAAGCACATAATTTAGTGTAATACACTGCTGCGTAAGACTGATGTAAGAAAAGAGTACAGAGAAATACCGTGGAGAAGTCAAAGAAGGAAATGATAATCTCTAGTTGGCAAAATCATGAAAGGCTCTCTGGAGGAGGGATATTTGAGACAGACGCTCAGGAAGGGGTAGGATTGGCTGTTATAGTAGCTAAAGCAATGCATGAACAAAATCACCAGGAGAGAAAAAGCGTAACACATCAGCCATATTTTTGAGGATTCTGAGAAAAGATTGAGGATTGCTTAATACAAAAGCAATCAGGGAGGCCGAGGAGGTTTTAGAGCGAGGATTGCTTAATACAAAAGCAATTAGGGAGGCCGAGGAAGTTTTAGAGCATGATCACAGGTACATTTTAGAAAGATGGTGCTGGCAATTGATGGAGTTTAGACTGACAGTGAAGGTGACCTCAGAGGTTGGCAACCACTGAATCAGCAGTGTCATTCCTTCAGGCAAAGGTAAGGAGCCAGATAACAATACCTACACACAGGGTCAGGTATGAATAGCTAATGGAAGTTGTTCGTGAGACGTGATAGCAGCCTTCATAGGTGGTTTAGAATGGTGGAGAGGCGGGTGGGAGACAGCGTGAAGACAA